ATAGATAGATAGATAGATAGATAGATAGATAGATAGATAGATAGATAGATAGATAGATAGATAGATAGATAGATAGATAGATAGATAGATAGATACTCTATAAAATCTACAACACATTTTAGTTTTTCTAAGTTCAATACTACAAATTTCAGTTCAAAAGTGCCATAAGTGGTTGCTCGAAAAGTTAACTTTCTAGTATATCCTCTACAGATTGTAGATTATATATTTCTCTGAATCTTTAAAATTGTTTGGGAGTTTCATCAGGAGTACGACTCGTGTACGGCTGCATTTGACATGCGCTCCACATAACACACGCAGGATCTGAGCTAGAGCGTTGTTATACCTGCAAAATAATGCCTGCAACAACCAATCAAATGAAAGCAATTGAGACGAACTGCCATCTTCAATACCAAACTGTGCCAATCACCAGAAATCAAGCCAATTACCACCCTTCGTCGCAGTCACGTGTTACAGGGGTAGCAGAACGCCGATTGGCCGTCGTAGCACTGCCTCCCGAGTTCATTTATGTTCTGGGAGTGAGTGATTGACTTTATCAGTCCAAGGACATCATCCGCCTGGTAAGGGGGGGAAGTTTGATCCTCTTTCTCACGGATTGCAGTCAACGGGAGTTTTTTCTCCCAACTCTTTGCATAGGATTTTTCCCCATTTTGGCTTGGTTTGTTTTTGTTGTTTTTGGATTTTTCCGCGCAACGTGGTACATCTCGACGCAGTGTGCAGCTTGCGCGCTCCGCTAAACTGGATTTTAATTTTATTTTCAGTTTTTTTCTTCCCAGCTCCTGAGTTTGCTTCAAGCTCATGACTATGCTTCTTGATAGCGGTCCGCAGTTTGCATCGTTAGGAGTGGGGGGCTTCGGGACGCCGCGGCACCACGAAATCGGGAACAGAGACCCTAGTCTGGGACTGAATCCCTTCAGTGATTCCTCCCACTCCGCTGCTTTTAAAATCAGCCCCGTGGCTCACGATATCGCTTCCAGCCAGACATCAGCTTTCACACCGCAAGCCAGTGGATATGCAGCTGCCCTGGGACACTCTCACGGCGGGCAGGTGGGCTCGTACGGCGGGGGAGCTTTCAATTCAACACGAGACTTTCTCTTCCGGAACCGGAGCGTTGGAGAGTCCACAGCTCCGAGCACCCAGCATGGGATCTTTGCAGCTTCGGCGGGGAGCCTCCACGGGCCGCCCGGGATCACCGATAACCCAGGACATTTGTTGTTTCCAGGACTTCATGACCAGGGAGTGAGCCACACTTCATCCAGTGGACATGTTGTTAACAGCCAAATGCATCTTGGCTTGCGCGGGGACATTTTCGGCAGACCTGATCCGTATCGTCCTGTAGCGAGCCCTCGGACAGACCACTACGGGGCTCAGCTCCACAACTACAACCACCCCATCAACATGAATATGGGGATGAATGTGCCGACACACCACGGTCCGGGAGCCTTCTTTAGATACATGAGGCAACCGATCAAGCAAGAATTATCATGCAAATGGATAGACGAGAACCAGATGAACAGACCCAAAAAGACTTGCGACAGGACTTTCAGCACCATGCACGAGATGGTCACTCATGTGTCCATGGAGCACGTCGGCGGCCCCGAGCAGAGCAACCACGTCTGCTACTGGGAGGACTGCCCGAGAGAAGGGAAATCTTTTAAGGCCAAGTACAAACTCGTCAATCACATCCGTGTGCACACGGGCGAGAAACCGTTCCCATGCCCGTTCCCCGGATGCGGGAAAATATTCGCCAGATCGGAAAACCTGAAAATACACAAAAGAACACATACAGGTAGGCACCAACAGCATCTTAGCATCATGTAAAAAATATAGAAAGAGAGCCTATTTTTAAATAGACCTCGTGCTTCAGTGTTCCAGATATAAACGTGCATGTTGTTGTGTTATTGTTTACGAGGTCCTTTTCAGAAATTGGATCAACTTTTCTAATGGCGATAAGCTCCCAGTTTCCTTTTTTCGAAATTATTTGAAAATATACAGATTGGATAATGTTTCCACAGTAGAGTATAAACCACATTGCTCTGCAACTTTGCTGTAGTGTTCAGCCTCGTTAATTCTTGCAGCTTTTGTCCTGAGAAGTTTTGTGCCAGTCCAAAAGATACTTCATTTACTTTACGCCAAACTTTCGGTGCATTTGCTGTATTGGTGCTTAGGGCAGACACGGGGCTCGTGTGCTTTTTGAACACATCATTACAAGTAAGCAATTTCTGGCTGCGTTCATAATTGTCGCTCTAGTTCAGCCAGTGCACGGTACAGAATGCCCTGTTGATTCAGTATTTACTATACAAGAGCACACGCACTGAGGAGGCCAGTAGTAGCATGAAGGAGCAGGCCTCTTGAATAAATAAAGCCTGACAGAGCAGTGTGTAGTAGTGGAGCAGTATCCATGTCGCCCCGAAAATGTAGGTTACTCTGTTATATAATAGGCTGCAGACAATTTACATCTTGTGTCTTCGGATTTACAGTCGGTGTTACAATGGGGGTTTGTTTGTGCGGGCCATTGAGGGGTAATTCACGATGTTTATTTAATCCTCCAGGTGAGAAGCCGTTTAAGTGTGAATTTGATGGCTGTGACAGACGCTTCGCCAACAGCAGCGACAGGAAAAAGCACATGCATGTGCACACATCAGACAAGCCATACATCTGCAAAGTGTGCGACAAGTCATACACACACCCTAGCTCTCTCAGGAAACACATGAAGGTAATTAACGTCTTCATTACTCCTTAAACACATTAACACACTCACACACACGCCACTCCACCTCCTTTACCACAGACAGAGACCATCACAACTTTAGGCTTTTTTTTAAAGATGTTATAGGCTAGCCCAGTCACACTGCAAAAAAAGGTACAAAAATGGTGTGCAATCACAATTAGTGTGTTAGCGGCTCTTGATTTTAAATAGCTAAAAGATTAAACGATTAATAGTTTTTAAAAAAACTCCCCCTTTGTTGTTGTTCTCTGATGATGGATTTTGATTTGTATTTTTCTTTAAAATAGCCGTCTTCTATAAATATCCGCTAGCAATAACCAATTTTTTAAAATATATTTTAACCATCTAGTACTTTGAGAAAACCTATTTTTATATAAACTTTAACAGTGTGTTGATGCGGATATTTCTATGCAGTCCAGAAGCTCGCCTGTTTACCATTACAGTTGCCCCATAAAACTCAGAGCTAATCCGCATTTAAGTTCAGCCTCCTTCCATAAAGACACTTAAAGGTCACCGTTTACAATGACTGCTTCAGTAACTCAGTGCTCGTGTCCCCATGTTTTGCAGGTTCATGAGTCTCAAGGATCTGAATCGTCTCCAGCAGCAAGCTCCGGATACGAGTCGTCCACACCGCCAGTCCTGGTCTCAGCCAGCACTGAGGACCCGACAAAAACGCCGCCGTCAGCCGTACAAAACACGTCTGGTCACAGCGAAGGACTGGCACCCAACTTTAATGAATGGTACGTTTGAAGTCAGAAGAACAAATTCCCTCTCAATGTGGACCAAGAGGATGAGCAGGAAAAAAAACATTAAAAAAAACTATTCATTTTCACTCCACACACATACACACACACATACACGCACACATCACCATCAGATACACATGCAAACACACGCGAATGGGATTGGAACAAGAACAACAGCAGGAGATGAGAGCAAAAGCCAGCACCAAGCAGGCCACGTCCGTTCTCAGGATCACGAAATTTGACTTTTATTCCGCAGTTTTGAGGAAATCAAATAAATCACGAATAAATAAACGCTATACTTTCTCAATATAAATAAATGTTTTTTTATCTTTTAGTTAAAGTTTTCAGAAAAAAATGTTTTATTTTTCATTTTATGTATTTTCTCAAATTTTTATTTAAAAAAAAAGAATAAAAAAGGAAAATTATTTCACGCTGTTTTATATAACGGTGACGCTCTATTGTCGCCTCTTCAATTGATTGTTGAAACTTCAAACAGTCTTAAGAAACGTGCCAAAGTCTTTGTCATGAACTTGAACACAGAAAAAAAAAATCATAACTAAATATTATCTCGTGAATGTATTTCCTTGTTTGATGGGGTCGAATCTGTTGTCAACGTCCGTTTTCAGGTGGAGAAATGTGGTATTAGGTTACGATTGTTACCGTTGAATATAACGTTGCCTTTTGTTAATACCGTTGTAAATACATATCCATGATGCCATATTTATCAATTTGTAATTTAATTATGGGTATAAGTTCTGAAACTTAAATGATATTTATGGAAATGTTTTCTAACAAGAACTGTACAGTTTTGGTCATAACCAGCTTAACATGGAACAAATGATAAACTCTAAAGCTCCAACATCGCGATTGTATCCTTCTGTTTTTTGTTGTTGTTTTATTTTTTCCTTTTTAACCAATAGGCCTACATGTGTCTTATTTGGATTAATTAAATCATTTATATGAATATTATGGATTTGTCTATATATAATGCAAATATTTCCGTCACTTTTATTTTGTTTATGAGACCATTGACATGTAAAATCATTGACTTTGTAGAGCTGAGTTCAGTTGAGCTGAGAAGCTATAAAACGGTTCTGTTGTTATCTTTATTTTTGGTTAAATTTAAACTTTTTGTGTATTTTACTTTTATAGAATCAGAACTAGATGTCAATCTTAGCATAAACTCAGTATTGGGGGAAGAAGAAAAAAAAGAGAGAAAAGAATGAACCCATCAGCCTATTGCACTCCTATACTACAGGTCTTAGAGTGTGCGAAGTCATGATTTCCAAATCAAGGTGACAGCATTTTGAGTATTTCAAATTGAGGTCAAGACCCGAACTATATGCGCCAGTATGGCAACCTTTCTAGTTCCAGCAGTGTCTT